CTGGACCACCCCAAACCTTTCTAAAACGGGTGATCACCGACCCAATTACAAGTCAGGAAAATGGTCTCCGGGGGAATGAGTTTTCTGAGGTCTCAGAACGTTTTCCCTGCACTGAGAACATTTGGACTCAAGGTCTTGGGTTTGCATCTGCAACGGGAAAAATGTCTGGTGCCATTCTCTCCTCAGGAGATCAGAGCAGAGTGGCCCACGACTGGACCTGAGGGCTCCAGGGCAGGCGGCAAGGCAGGGCCCGCTCCCCACTCCTGTACCAGCTGCTAACGATGCTCCATCCCGTCACTCTCTCTCTCTGCAGCCACTGCAGCTGGACAGCCACGTCACCAGCGTTTACCGCTGGGCTGGCCTTCCAGAAGCTCAATCCCATGGACTCTTGATGACAGGGATTTTCAGTGTTCAGCTAGTCAAGTTTCACTGTTTTTCTCCAGTGGATAAAAAGCCCTGACTTCCTTTGTTTCTAATTAAAGGCAGATGGGCAGCGGATGACCTGCTCCTTCATTTTCCCTCCGTGTGAGAGTATGGCCGATGGCAGCCCACTTTGCCTGTCACCAATCTGTCGGGCACTTTTAAACAAGTCACCTGGTCTCCCTGCAACGCGAGAGGAACACACACTTCTCGGTTGGGGTGCTGGGCTCTTTCCCTGTTGAGTGATGTTCAGCGCTCATAAAAGTGCCCTCGAAGCAAAGCCCTGGGTTGTCCAAATGCCCATCCATCACCATAAGCAGATTTATCCCATAACACTTCAGGTCTTTAGAACTAAATGGAATAACTGCAAAAAATCTCTTTGGAATAAAAGGGAGAAGGCTCAAGTAAGAGCCTGATCCGCACGGTGAGTTAATGACCCCCCGGGAGCGCAGTCTTTTCCTACTTGGCAAAACCACTGTGCTGACTGCTCGAGGGTCAGCTCACGAAATGCACACAAACCCACGGAGCAGGTGACTCGGCGTCTCCACGAACCTGGACCGCGTGACCTCAGGCTGCAGCCTTCACACACGCTACCTGTCTCCAGGCGTCTTCAGCTAGTCTGATGGAGGGGACCTGCCCACGTTAGAAATCTGCTTCACTGGCTATTCATCGACCCGGAATCCAGCGGTCGCTTAGGAAATACTAATTCCCTCTCCCGTCCTTTCCTGTCAATCCTATCTTACAGCCGTCAAGGAGGATGTATTTGGAAGAAAGACTCTTCTCCGGGTCGGGAAAGAGTAAGAGAACAATCTGTTTAAGAAGATCTTTTCCTCTACGTGGGGATTTAAAGAGTAGGGCCTTGTCAGTTACATCTCCACAAAGCTGGGGAGAAAATAAAGCGCCTTGCTTAAGGTAAATCAAAAGAATACAGAAATGAAAAGTAAAAGGGTAGAGCCTTTCCATGTTTTTAAAATGTATGCGTTCCAAAATGTTGATGGCAGCTGCCCTAGGGATTCCGGTAATGATCCTTATCAGAGTCTAAAAAACTGAGTCACCCCCCTCAGTGTGACTCACCAGCAATGTGCTCAGAGCGTCTCAGGTTTCACACACTTGGTTGGAAAAGAGCTCCTCCACCTGCTGCTAACAGAAGCCCCCTGAAGTGGTTCCCTGGGGATGCAGGGGTGACTATGTTGCTCTGCCTTCCTGGGAGTGGCTTTTTGCTTTTCTCTTCAGGAAGGAGTTCAGAAGCAAAGAGGAAGTGCCTTTTCTGCCCTAGAACACACTGAATCAGGACTGAAACCTATTATCATTCCAGTCCCTCGGACCCATGTCCCCTGAATGAAACTATGCCAACGATCAGTGGACGGGCTCCACGGCTGGAAGGGCGGAGGGGAGAGGTGTTGGCAGGGAGGGGTTAGAAAACGGACTCCTGCACCGTCACACACCGGGCTTGGCCAGGTCCTTTCCAGATCAGCACCGAGAAGTTGTTGCTCTGGGTTTTGGCCATCACTCACGTCCGTCAACCTGGGACACATGTGGCTTTATCAGGGTACACGCTGTGTTTTTCACGGCCTTGCTGATGGCTATACATACTCAGAAGACCCTGAAAACCAAAAGCTGGCCGCCCGCTATGAGAACTGCCCCAAATCCCAGTTTCCACTGAAGGAGATTAAAGCAAAGGGCTGTTCAGGGGCTGTGTGTGTGTGTGTGTGTGTGTGCGTGCGCGTGTGCGTGTGTGTGCGTGCGCTCTTTTGTTTTTTTAAACTGGTTAGCACTGTTCAAAGCGTCTGTAGGAGGCTTTTTGCTGGGAGCACTGGCCCTGCAGACCGCACACGGCCACTGCACCACATCCTGCCTGTCTTTCCCAGCTCCCGGAGCCAAACTGTGAAGTCTCTCACGACCCTGAGGCTTGGCCTGAAATTGCTACAGCTGCCTTTCCTGGGGCCTGCAAAGCCGGGGCTGCTCTGCTCGCCTATTCTTAGCCTCGCGCCACAGACCTCTCTGAGGGCTCAGGACGTGTTTCCATCGGGGCCGCACCCGGAGGAGACCCGTGTGCTGCCAGGTCTGTGGGACACCTGCACGGGGATCCCAGCAGCAGTCCGGTGTGGTTTGTTTCAAAGGCCAAAAGAAGAGAAATAAACGCTCGCCGCCAGCTCCCTCCCTGTGTCCCGAGAACAAGGGGCTGAGTTTTCTCTTCCAGCTGAGCTGAGGCCCTGGAGGGCGGCTGCGGGTGGACCGTGGTCGCGCCGAAGTGCCAGAGGGGCAGGAATGGCACACGCAGGACAGCCACTCACGGAGCAACGGGTCAGGCTTCGGCGCGGAGCTGCCTCCCGGCCTGCCCTCCGTGCACCCCCCGATCTGACCGTGCGCCCCGGGCTCCGCAGAGCGGTGCTCCTGGCTTCTCTGCTCTGCGTCCTCAAGCCCCCAGGCAGACGCCACCACAGGCTCCATCACCTTGGAACGGTTGCTCTGTGGCTGTCACCCTCACCCGACGGGGCGACTTGAGGGACAGGGAACCACGTCTGTTCACTTTATCTGCATGTGTGCCCGGTGGTCCATGTATGAGGGGAGGGGGTGTGGCCATGAGGAAGGAGGCGTGGTTTGGGGTCGGCTTCCGAGGCACCGCCTGTGACACCCCCCCCCCCTCAGGGAAAGCCGAGCAAATGAACCCACGGATGACGCACTGCGAGAAGATGTGATGATTGAAGGTCAAAACCCAGCAAATCGCCACAGTTAGCAAACATACAGCAGCTAATTCTGGTTTTACGTGTACTTTTCCAGCTTATTTGAGTTTAAGTAAGACTCTCTGGAGTGACTGCATTCATCCATTCAGGAGACCTACGGACCCTAAACCCTGGCAGGCTGGCCCAGGCTTTACATACGCAGCCTTACATTGTAAGACGGTGAACACACCATCTCTGACTTGTCCCCAGTGTCAGCCGTATTCAGGCCAGAACGTCACGTCCAAAATAATCAGGCGTGACGCTAGCAATGAGAAACAAAGCTCAGCAGTTCACGAGCTGAGGCAGACCGTTGCCGGTCACTCAAGAGTGACGGTCCAGCAGCGACCGTGCGGTGTTCGGACCGGAGCTTGGCCACACTGACTGCTGCACGGGGCAGAGCGGGAGGGCGGTGCCCGGCCCGGCGGGGCTGCGACCCTTCCGAGGCCTGCTTTGCACCCAGGCCTTTAACTGTCCCCGCCCCCACCTGTGGGCACTTGATAAAGAACGTGCCCCCCACTCCAACCCCGTGCTCGGAAGCTGCTGTCAGAGCCCGGCTCACCCTCTCTGTTTACCTTCCTCGGTGGCGGGGCCTCCCTGCCCAGCACCTCCTCTGAGCTTTGACACTTCCCTAAATGTCACTTTTCTGACCGCTTCGGCGTCTCCACGTTCCTCAGCCCACAGAGACAGGTGCCCTGGGTCCCCACGGCACTGAGAAGGGGGCTGAGACAGTCATGAGGTGTAACCTCAGAGCCAACCCCAGAAGGCGGGCTTTCGGAGCCAGGGAAGAGGTCAGGGGACCAGGTAAGCTCAGCACAAAGGGGTGCCCCCGGCCAGGGACAGACTACAGCAGAGATGCCCCAGCCAGAGTCGGCATGAGAGAAGGTGGCGGGTGCAGGCCCGACCCCGTGCCTGGAAACAGGCCCTCGGGAGCCCGTGTTACCCCTGGCCCAGGGCAGCTCCTGACATCTTGGGCCAAGAGGGGCTTGTGGCCCTACTGCCCCACGAAAAGGAGCTGATTTCTACAGAGTTCTGGAAAGATCACTAGACCAGTGGTTCATCACCCAAGGGTATAATCAGAACTATTGTAGGAGTCTTGTTTTTTCATAATCCACACGCCAGGGCCTCTCTCTGGACCTGGCAAATCAGAATCTCGGACGAGTCTGGGGTGAGAAGAGCAGACATATGTGACTGCCCAGGTGACTCGGATACAACACCTGCCCCAAGGGGGACACCTTCCCAGCTGGGCAGTTTTGAGGCCAGAGACCATGCCTTTTCGAGGTTTTTAAAATTTACTGAAGTATAGTTGGTTTACAATGTTGTGTTCATTTCTGCTGTACAGCAAAGTGATTCCGTTATACACATGTATGTATTCTTTTTCATGTTCTTTTCCATTATGGTTTATCACAGGGTATTGAATATAGTTCCCTGTGCTCTACAGTAGGACCTTGTTGTTTATCCATCCTGTACATAATAGTTTGCAGCTGCTCATCCCAAACTCCCACTCCTTCCCTCTCCCACCTTCCCTCCCCCTGACAACCACAGGTCTGTTCTCTATGTCCGTGAGGTTGTTTCTCTTTCATAGATAAGTTCACTTGTGTCATATTTTAGATTCCACATATAAGTGATATCATATATTTGTCTTTCTCTGACTTACTTCACTCAGTCTGATAATCTCTAGGTCCATCCATGTTGCTGCAAATGGCGTTATTTCGTTCTTTTTTATGGCTGAGTCGTATTCCATTGTATATATGTACCACATCTTCTTTATCCATTCGTCTGTTGATGGACACTTAGGTTGTTTCCATGTCTTGGCTATTGTGAATGGTGCTGCTATGAACATAGGGATGCACGTATCTTTCAGAATTAGAGTTTTGTCTGGGTAAATGCCGAGGAGTGGGATTGCTGGATCATGTGGCAGCTCTGTTTTTAGTTCGGAGACCATATGCCTTTTCACCTTGCACTCAGTACAGTTCCTCCCACATAACAGACCTAAAATAGTCTTTGTTGATTGATCGAATGAATGAATATGTGACTAAATGAATAAACACTGCCAGTGACCAAAAGAATTGTTGATGATGCCGACGCATACAGCGAAAGAATGGAGTTTCCCACGGTGGCTTTTAGCCCCAGCTGTAAGTCAGTCTACCAGTTCCCCACTCGGAACAACAGCTAAATATGACGACAGGAACGTGGATTTTAGGGACTCGTGTGGTTCGGCAGTATATAGTGTTGCTGCGGGAAACAAGGATTTGTATGAACATCGCAGAAGAGGGCATACAATGAAAGAGGGCACTCCACTTAGCTCACAATTAATCGTATCATCTGAGGTTTCATTCTGGCTCTGGAAACAATGGGAACCATAATTACATGTCTAAAGCCCAAAATGGAATCCCACAAGTGTTTGACAAGGAGAACAGAAGGATGATGGAGTGTTTTACCCATCAGCCTGACCACAGGGCAACCCTGGTGAGTCACGCTTTCAGGCCGCGGTAGGATTTCTCATTACCCTCCATTCTTCTCCCTGAGTATATTGAGCTCATAGCTATTTGATGGATGTGACTCTGTTTGTGAATCCAGGCTGGCCTGCTGTCTTCCTGGATCTGACCCCTATATAGAATAGCCATGTAAATTAGCATGGGCCTTGGGCCAGGAAAAATTAATCCAGGCCTCAATGCAATCAAGTAAAAGGTGTCAAAGGGCAAACAAAGAGGGAAGTGTGACTGGGGCCAGGGATGCCCTCTTTTACAGGTTTCGCTACTTACCACCTGGTGATCATTTTTCGTTTCTGTTTTTGTCACTAGAAAAGTCGCAAAATGTAAGAGGAGCTGATGGAAGTCTTTCCAAATCTGTATGGGATGAGAAAAGAGTTCTTGCTGAAAGTGGGATTAAGGCATTCGGGGAGGGCTTCCCTGGCATCAGGTCTGAGTGGGCCTACAGGCCGGGACCCCTCGCCTTGACCTCAGCACCCAGACCATGCCTGGACAGCGCTCGCCACACTGGGTTGTTTATTCACGTGTTTCGTGGTGTTCGTCTGTCTCCCCCGTTGGACTGAGTTCCCAGGAGGCTGAGAATCACGTCTGTCTTGCCCACCTCTGACTCCAGTAAGTGGCACAGGCGTTGCAGGAATGCACAGAGATGCCAGATGCTACCCAGCCTCCCTCTAACGAGAGCAGGCTCCAGGGTTGGCCATGCCCACGGTTCGCTGTGCGCCTGTCCTTCACAGAACCCCCTGCTGGCTGGCAGCTCTCACGTCCTGCTTGGGCGTGGGATGCCTTGAACACTCATCAGGTTTTCTTCTAGCTGCCCTGGCGAGCTGCCTGGTGAAACACCACCCAGAGAAACGGAGACAGAACGTAAGGAGCCCTGGCAAACTGGAGAAGGGAAGGCAGGGGCTGGGGCGAAGGGTGGGCTGGACCCAGAGAGTAGCAGGTCGCGAGAGAGCCGGGGGCCCAGAGGGCCTGGAGGTGGAGGGCAAGGAATCAGTGTAGGCTGAGCACGCTGGGGTGGAGACCCGGGCGCACAGCTCCCCGTGCCACAGGACCCCACTTCCCCGCCTGCAGAGCCCGGGGTGAGAGCAGTAACAGGAGCTGGCGTCCACTGAACTCTCACTCTGTGTCCTCCACAGACTCTCCCCGCGGGAGTGACCGACCCAGGCTGGGGACGGGAAATTGTCAGAGCTTGGAGGCCACAGAGGTGAGGCTTTGACATCCCGGATGGTATCGTCGTTCGGGAACTAGCAGTGTCCCAAGTCTCTGTCAGTCAGTCCCCCTCCCATGAGGTGTGATTGTGTGTCACCGCGGAACACCTGTGATAGCACGCAAGGAACAGTGGCAGAATGGCAACCCAAACACGCGGCATTGTTATATCCCAGGGACCCCAACACAGCGCTCACGGGTTGAGCTGGATCGGAGCCTGCAGTCTAGACCGAAGGCCACACAGACACCAAGACCTCCTCCCCCGCAAGGAAATGTAAATGATAGAATTAGCGAATTACGACTGTCTGTAGGGAGAGAACAAGCACTTGCACCCAGCAGTGTCCTGGACGAGGTGCGTCAGAGGGGCCACTGCCTGGGAACACGCCCTCGAAGGACGGCGGCCTCTGAGCCTCGCCATTCTGTTGGCAGCTCTTCCTTGGAAGACAAGGATGTGTCACAAGGAAGGGGCCGGGCCAGGGTGCAGGTGAACGGGCAGAAGCAGGAAGACACGGGAGGGGAACCGTCTTCCCCTACAGCAGTCGCAGTAATAGTAATGATGATAATAAATATTTAGACGCTATCTGCAGAGTGCATCTAAGTGTACAGTTTAACCTATAGAATGATCATGCTGGGAGCTGTTCTTTGCCTTGAGATAAGCAGATTGCTTTAGTGACTCATCCAAGACCACAAAGCTAATAAGTAGCAGAGAGAGAACTCAGTACCACCAGCTTAATGTCCACCACATGGTAACCGAGTTAATCTCGCTGGGGAATGTGATTTGGATATAAGGGCAGACCTGACGCTGTGCCCATCATCCCAGCCAGGCCCTCTCCTTCCTACCACTGGTCCTTGCCAAAGCATCTTCCTTGCTGACTCCCAGTAGAGGAAATTCTCTGTCTGGCTATACCTTTCCAATTTACAATTATACGTAATTTAAAATCTTTCCAATAATGGATCAGTTCTTAAAGGTTAGTCGCTAGTATAAGATTTATGGCAATAAGCACCATCTAAATATATTGGTAACTCGCTGTACATAGAGCAGCACGTCTAGGTGCTGGGATAGATAGAGCAATGAAATGGGCCTCAGAATATGACTGTTTATTACAACAAAAAGATGTCATTTCAAATTCCTGAGAGAAAATATGGACTTTATAATAAACGATGATAGAATAACTTGTCTGTTAAAAGAAAATTCAGTTGGATCTTTGCTGCTTACCATCAACACATAGATGCATCAAATATAAAAATACAAAGCCACAAATGTACTGGATAAAAGCATAGATGACTATTTTTATAATCTTGGAATGAGGGACTTTTTCATCCCAACATTATATTGATACAGCACATAATTTTAAATTTCATACAGCAGAAAATTACAAATAACATTTAAAGAGAAATAATAAACTGGGAAAAATATTTGCAAACTATATAACAGACTAAGAGTTAATATCTTTACTGATCACAGGTCTTCTACAAATCAATAAAAGGAAACAAATAGCCCAATGAAAATGGGAAAGGAAACACGTAAGCTTTTTACCAAAGAAGAAATGCCAAACATATAAAAATATACTCAACTCTTAATAATAAGTATAGTGACACAAATAACTATACTGTTGTGTGTGTGTGTGTTTACCTACCAAGTACAAAGAATAAAGAGACTGAGCAAAGAATGTTGCCAGCTTGCTGGGAAATGCTTATTCTCATGAACTGGTAGTTGGCATGTAAACTGACATCACTTCTGGAGGAAAGTTTAGCAACATATACCCAAATTTAAAATATACACACTTACCCTTAGCCCAAGAATTTCAATTCAAAGAATTCATTTACTTTTCTTGTGGTAAAAGACAGGTACTATAAAATTTACCATTTTAACCATTTAAAAATGTGCAGTTCGGTGGCATTCGGTGTACTCACATTGTTGTGTGCCCATCACCTCCATCCATCTGCAGAACTTTTTTCTCTTCCTCAGTTGAAACTCTGCATCCATTAAACACGAACTCCCCATTCCCCCTGCCCCTCAGCCCCCGGCAACTGTGTCCTACTTTCTGTCTCTAGGAATTGGACGACTAAGAATCAATCTTAAGGAGAAAATTGTCTAAGAGCAACATATACATCCACGAAAGATGTATTCATTCAAAAAACATTTCCTGAGGACCTGCTGTATGCTAGGTAATAAACAAGATAGACCAGGTTACCTGATTTACGCACACGTCGTGACCAAGAGAAGGTAGACCGTGAACAAACGTGTAAGGAATAGAGCATTAAGTTGCCATAAAGACTCTGAAGAAAATAAACAGATTTATGTGACAGTGATTTTGGGGGGGGGTGGGTGCTTTAGATAGGGCAGTAAGGAAAAATTCTCTCAAGCACTATTTATAATAGCCAACAAATCAGAAAAACTAAGCATCCAGGCAACACCCCTGCTAAGGCGGAGAATCCATCTGGCCAGATGTCACCATGTGCCAGTTTATTATAGACCGCAAGAGACTTTCTCAGAACGAACTCCCTTAATTCAGTGTGTCTTCTGTAGAGTATTTTCCTGGAGGGCAAAAGTTTCCAACATTTGGGGGTAGAAAATAATTTAGCAGGGGCGCACGCCAATGCTGCTTTATTCCGAGAAGGAATGTGTGGATGACAGTTTCAAGTGTTTGGTGTCCAACCCCTCCTAAAACTGTAAACTAACAGCCAGACAGGGAAGAGGCTGATCTAAATCTTCTTTCTGTGGTTTTACGTTTGTTCTGGCAGGCTGAGCAACACGAAAAAAATTACAGTGCGTGCATGGGAAACATTCTCCCCCTTTTTCTTGAGTAACTGACATGTTGGAGGGCCGGCGTGAGTTAGGGGCGATGGCGTTGCTGTGATACATGGACAGTCGAAATAGCATCAAGGGCCCGGCCTATCCTGAGCCCAGGCAGGAAATTCAAGGGTAATATAACACTTCACCGTTAAGTAATGCCATTGGAATAAAACCATGTTTGGGATGACTTTTGGCTTTCACTTGGAATTTCTGTTTCATTTGCTTCCAGAAAGAACTTTCCCCCTTAAAGTTCTTAACTTGCATTTCAAAAGTTTTTGTAGCTTTATAAATAGGATGTATACGAACTGGCCTTGAATTAAAGCTGTATGTCGTAGAACATGCTGAAAAACAAATCCAGTCCAGGACCTCCGTTTTCACTATGGGCTCCAGGGCAGCAGCTTCAGGAAATGGAAAGCGCAAGTCACAAGTTAGAGACCTCACTCTGCTACCTATTAGCCGGGTGACCCTGGGTGGATTCTTTGACCTTGGAGCCTGTAGAAGAGGAATAACAATAGTACCCGCTCAGAGGGGTTTTGTGAGGATAAAATGCAAGAGCATGAAAGGCTCGGTGCTCGCTAGCAATACAGCTTTTTCCTTCTTTCCTGGGCTTCAAAACTGAGTCGGGCATGATTGCCACAGAGTAGAAAAAGACTAAAATGGAAAATCAAAATTTATTTTTGTCTGAATAACTTGGCCATGGTTTGCTTTTCCCTGTTGGTTTTAAGCCATATTCCTCCCGTGCTGCCTCCTAGGCTGAGTTTCTGCATGATTGAAACACCATCTTCAGTTTCAAAGGAGCTCAGATGCACTGGAGCATCTCCAGATACTCGGATGGTGCAGGAGACTCAGACCCACGGCAGGAACTGGTGAAGGATCTGCAGGTATTTAACTGGGAGAAAACGCTGAGGGGACATGGGAGTTGCCTCCAAATACCTGAAGGGTAATATCATGTGGAAGAGAAATTAGATTAATTCTGCCTCTGGCTCCATAAGTGGAGACAGATTCTAGTTTTATGGATCGAAAACCTTAAAAAAAAAATCAGATTGTCAAGGAGACATGCTATCTTTTTTTTTTAACATCTTTATTGGAGTATAATTGCTTTACAATGGTGTGTTAGTTTCTGCTTTATAACAAAGTGAATCAGCTATATGCATACATATATCCCCATATCTCCTCCCTTTTGCATCTCCCTCCCACCCTCCCTATCCCACCCCTCTAGGTGGTCACAAAGCACCGACCTGATCTCCCTGTGCTATGCGGCTGTTTCCCACTAGCTATCTATTTTACGTTTGGTAGTGTATATATGTCCATGGCTCTCTCTCACTTTGTCCCAGCTCACCCTTCCCTCTCCCCATATCCTCAAGTCCATGCTCTAGTAGGTCTTTATTCCCGTCTTACCCCTGGGTTCTTCTGATGTAGGGAATTCCAGAGGGATCCTATCCTTCACTTCGTGGGAGTCCTACAGGGAATTCTGCATCAGAAAAGGCTGGGTGAGCTGCCCTTTTAAGGTTCTTTCCAGGTCAGGGAGGCTGCAATTCAGGTAGCTACATAAATGCAACATTTTGCTGCAGGAACTTAAGGAAGAACAGCCCGGGCGGGGGGGTAAGGCACACGCGCGAACTTTCGCCTTCTATAACAAAAGAATGTCATGCCACGTTAGGAAAAAAGGCCTTTAACTGCGAGAAGCGAAAACGTTCATGGTTTAGCGGATCATATTTTACAGGTTCCTGTAGACACAGGGGCCAAATGAAACCGAGCCACGATCTTAGGCATCAAATTACACTTCACTTTTACCTTTTCCCCATGTGATTCTGACATACGTGATTAAAAATGAACCCGAACCTTTGAGCTACCCATTTGGGTTTAGGGTTCCCCCTCCGTTTATTTTCTCTGTTCACCTGCAAACCTTTGCTGGTCGTTTCATAGAGACTTGGTCAACTGCTTTCAACAGCTTAACATTAAAGCCACTGAGAGCATAAACAGGAAGCTGGTGTTTAGGTGGGAGTTCCTAGGAATTTTATACCACTGACCACAGAGGCCAAGAGAGAAAGGAAATAGGAAAAACAGTGTAAATACCTGGGTGACTAATGACTTAGCGCAGCTCAGCTGGCTTTTCTGAACACTTAGCAGGAAGTCCTTCCAGGGGAAACACCCTTCACATTTTTCAGGACCCCGCAAGGCACCGAAGGGCCAGATCGGGGCGTTTGCTGGTTAGCCTGCAGACTCTGCCCACGTCTCCAAAACGCCGGCTCTATTTGCATGCGCGCTGCAGACCGCTCGCCGAGCGCCTGGGCTCCAGGCCTGGGGCTGCAAAGGCTCGGAGGGCCACCCCCTTCCCGGTTCACACGGCGAGCGCCTAAGAGGATTTAGAATCAAGTGGGCACGTTTGCAGGCCTCGCTGTGAAGAGGCAGCTGGAGCGCGGCGCAGCCCCCCGCGCCCCGGGGCTGCATTGTCCTCCGAGGGGCCGCCGCCGGGGCTCCTTTGTGCGCGGGGCCGGCCCTGTCCTCCCGCCTGGCGCCCCCGCCAGCCCCCGCCCCCCCCCCCCGACGCAGACGGCTCCCTCCGGCCGCCGACCCGCCGGCTGCCGCGGTCCCCGCGCGGAGGAGCGGGCAGGGCGGCGGGCGGGCCATCTGCACGGAGACTGACGGCGGCCCCGGAAGGTCAGCGCCCCGACGACCGTCGTCTGAACAGCAGGCCACCCGGGCCTCCCAGCAACACAGGGACATCTGCTCCCCTTCATTCGGAGCCCCGGTTCCGATTTCACCAGAGGGCCCCCCTCCCGCCGACCCGGGCTCCGCGGAGGGGGGGGGACGGGGACCCCCGAGGGGCCAAGCAGACGCGTCGCCCGCCCCACCCCCCCAGATCTGGGGCCGAGCGGCTGAGTCCGGCGGGGCGGGGGAGGGGGGTCTCCCACGTGACCCAGGTGACGTCGTGCGGGGGAGGGGCGGCTGGCCGAGTGGGCGCGCGGGTCCCCGAGCTCGCGGCGCGCGGAGGCGTCCCGGGTCTGCAGACGGGGCGGACCCGGATCCCGCCCTGCGAGGAGGAGGGGTCGGGCAGCCCCGCGGACAGAAGGGTTTGGGGCTCTCCCACCCGCGCTGGGAAGAATCGGCGAAGGCGCGGGAAAGTTCGTAGCGAGCAGAGAGAGGCATCCATCAGGGATTCTCGTGCAGGGCCCCGGCGGGCAGTTGTAAAGCCAGCTGTCAGCGGGCGAGGCCGGAATCCTGCCTGGACGGCTGGCACCCAGACTCGTCCTGCCTTTTCTGCTTCGTATTTTGGCGAAACGATGGAAGGATGAGAGGACTGCGTTTCTGTTGAGTTTCCACCCCTAGATCATAAGCTCCCTGAACACAGACGCTGCATCTTATTCATCATTGTCTCCCCGCCTCACACAAATGTTTGGACGCTAGACTAACGTGCGAAGGGCTTGGGGTGTGGTCCTTGTGACCTCTGGGTCCAACTGCTGTCGTTTTCCATTTGACTGAAACCAGGGCGTTGTGGAGAATGAACTTGTGGCTGCAGGGAGGTGTTATTTCATCGCTTTGCACCCTGTTTCCTTCTTCCCTGCTTTTCCACAGACGTTTTATGGAGTGTCCCTGTGAACGAGGGAAATAAAGAAACAGGACACCCAGGCCTCAAGGTGTGGGCCGTTTGCCAGGGATGCTGTGCAAAAGTAAACAGCTAACCAGGACTCTGGGTGATGAGTGCTATTGACAGGAAATGAGGGGGTGGTCCCTAAAGCCTGCTTCTAGGGAGGGAAGGGGTCTAAGCAGAGGTGGGAAGCCGGGGTGGAAGTGTACCAGGAGAAGGCCTGCTGCTGACGCGGTTCCCTCTGCATGGATTCCCCCACCCCCACCCCGCCAAGATCGGTTTATCTCCTGTTCATTCTTTAGGCCTCGGGTGAAATGTGACTTCCCTGGTGCCTCCATAAGAGAAGGTCTTCCTATTAAGTGATTCTGTAGCACCTGGCACTTTTTTTTTTTTTTAAATACTCCTGACCAGTCCAGTTGGGCAATGTTCATCACCCCTATTCAACTGTAAGCTCTGGAGGCAGAAACCGGCCTTTCTGTTCATGAGCAGAGTCTCCGTGCCCAGCCCAGTGTTCCCTCAATAATTGGTTGGGCTAATGAATAATCAGGCTTTCCTTAAGTTAACGAGCAACTCGCTGCTCGAGTTTCTGTTCTGGGCGTGAGGGCAGGCGGTGAGCGTTCCACGCCGGTCCCCCCCGGGGGGAACCACCTGGAACAGAGGAGCCGTGGCGTAGAATGTATTATTTTCGTGGTCTTCTGCAGCTCGGTGATCTCAGAACTGTTTTCTGTAGAACCGTCGTGAGGTCGGGTGCCATCATGAAGTGAGCCTGAGGACAGGGGCTTGAGGCGGGACAGACAGGGCTCTGCGCTGCAAGGAGTTTAGAGCCTTGACTGGCCTGCTGCCCTGTGTCCCAGCCAGGAGCATCTACGTAACACTTCGCAGCTGGGGGTGTGGATGGAGCTAAATGGTAACTTCGCTGCCCCGGTTCCCCCATCTCTTCATGGGCCCCGGGGCTGGAAGGGCCGGCCATGGGAGAGCCAGACAGGATTAATTTGCCCCCATCAAGGTTGGCTCCCTCATCCTGGCCTCTTTGTCACATCCTGGGACAAATCCCTCCCTTGGTTTTTGATGATAAGGGGAGAATCGAGGTTGTGGAGTAAAGAGGCAGACCTCAGTGGCTGGTGCTGCCTGACTTAAACTCCAGCTCTACCACTGCTTAGCTGTGTGACTTTGGAGGCCTTCCTTAGCCTCTCTGTGCCTCAGGCACTTTGCAATGAGAGATAATAGTATCGAATTTATGTGCTGTTATAATTTTTAAAACTCTGGTATGTACAGCTGTCCCTTGAACGACATGAGTTTGAACTGCGAGGGTCCACTTACATGCAGATTTTTTTCCCCCAATAAGTACAGTACTGCACGATCAGCGGGTCATTTGACCCGTGGATGCTGAGTTGCGGATACAGAGGAACCTCAATTACGGAGGGCCGACTATAAATTGCGCTCGGATTTTCATGGAAGGTCGGGGCCCCTAACCCCCTGCGTAGTTCAGGAGTCAACAATATTAAGAATTCTCATGATAAGCATACATTTGACTTAAACGCTAGTAGCTGATTAATTAAACTTTGAATAGCCAACCTCCAGTAGGTTAGAGTAACTACTTAAGTCAAGTGTCAGTAGAACAGATCACAGAGGACTGTGGTCTGAGAGATGAGATTTTCTCCGCCATTGCCTTTGGAACTCAAATGATGCCTTCTGCACTTCATCATTGCTCTTCCAGCCAGAAGGATTCTAATTCTTTTTTTTTTTTTAATTTTTTAATTATTTTGAGATTTTTAATTGAAGTATAGTTGATTTACAAGGTTATGTTAGTTTCAGGTGTACAGC